ATATGAAATAAATGCTAATTCTCACTTTAATAGTATGCTTCTCAGTAAAATGACATTAATAATACCACCGCAGCAAATTTTCATGTAAACTATGAGATAATAAATGTAAAGGTATTTTGAAAACTGCAAAGTTGTTAACATTGTACAATGTATTAGAAAAGTAAGGATCATAATAACCATGTTTAGTTGTCTTTTAATTTTGAAAACTTTGCAGTTTAACTTGAAATTTTTTTTAAATACAGAAACCCAATATGGGAAAATATAGTGATTAAATCACATAATGCATGTGATGTGTCAATAGGGTCCTTTCCATGTAATGGGTTCTCAATATATAATATTTATGGTATTTTTTAAAACTCAAGGTAAACATAAGGAGGGTTAGGCCATCCCCAGTACAAACACTGGGAAGGCTACTGCACATCTTGGAGAATGCACTTCACATTAATCTGTAGGAAAGTGAAACAAGAAAGTCCCGAAAGCATTGTGCTGCTTGTCCTGCCTACATATGCATGGACCACCTAATGAAAGTGGGAAAGAATAACTTCAGACCACTACCTAAGACAGAACTCAGTGTTGTAAGGATAGAACCCAACAATCCACTGCCACCTATCAGTTTTCAGAAGTGGAAAGGCCTAGTAAGGATCACCTTTGTTAGGAAAAACAAGATACTGCTGCATTTAAATCAAGTTCAGTGTAACAGCTCTTTGAAAAAAACTACAGAATTCACTGTTTGGTCCATAATATTGTAATACTAGACGATTTCAGCACAACAGATAAAATACAGCAAATCCTAATCAGTACAATTTTTAGTGATGAAAGGGCCTGTACCATGGACCTAGATGATTTATCAGACTGCTACATGGACTCAATGCAGACAGTACCCACTTTCACTAGGTATTTGGAAAATAGAATATTTCACAGTCAAGAAAAGAAACAAACTATACATTTTTTAGTATTTGAGAAGGAGCTGTTTATCCTCTGGGACATTAATTGCATGATCTTTTTTTTAAGTTTTTTTAACTTTTATTTAATGAATATAAATTTCCGCATGATCATTTTTAATATTATTGTCATTTATTATTCTGAATCTTTAAGATGGTCAGTTCTAAAAAGAAGGAGACAGATTGCAGTGATGCACACCATGCCATTTTCTCCTTTGGGCTGTAAGAAATGAAAGGTCGCTTTCTTTCTGTACAGCAGAGTCATTAACCATGTTTCTACAGAAATTGTACAGAAGACTAGGTGATTCAGAAAGAAAACACGGTGGATGGCAGTTCCATGAGGACACAAATCATCATTCTTCATTCTGGTCATTTACCCTGAGGGTCAGCTGCAGAGCTTTGTACATAGGAAGTCTTCACTTCTGTTTGAGAATGCACAAATGAAATCAGCTTTCTAAAGTTCAGGTCACTGTGTAACTTGCTTTGACATCCTGTTGGTCTTCATGTTTGACCATTGTTTATCACAGTTTAATACGTTGATTTTAATGTATTTGTCAGCATCTCTGAATATGTGGTAAAGGCCAAAAGGACAGGAGTTTTTATTTTATTTCCTTCCCTCTTTCTCAGGACCAACTCAATGATAGTTGCCTATACTTATGTTCCTTTGTTAATAATCTATCTTTTCTTTCTCATACATTCTTAGAGTTTACTAAATTCCCTGACTATTGAACCTTCATTGTATTGTGTATATGTGTGTACATGCATGTGGACACTTGTTAACACTATGCAGAATGCTCGGAACTTTCAGTCCATAGGCTCATGTGTTTTCTAAGTTCTGAATAAGTCCTGGCAATTGTTTCTTTATATATTGAATATCCTATATAATTTCTTTTTATTTGTTCTTTCTAAAGTCTGTTTTTTATTTTTTTATTCCTCCCCCACAGAAACCTTTTTATTTAAGGAATACAACTTTCATGCATTTCATGAGTACAACTTTAGGAATATAGTGATTCTTCCCACAATACCTGCCCTCCCACCCACATTCCCACCCCTCCTCCTGCTCCCTCTCTCATTCCCAGTGCCATTCTCCACTAAGATCCATTTTCAATTAACTTTATACACTGAAGACCAACTCTATACTAAGTAAAGTGTTCAACAATATGCACGGGGGAAAAAACCCCAAACTGTTCCTACACAGTCAAGACAAGGTCTGTTCAATGTCATTGCATCTTGAAGAAGTTAATTTCGCTTCTTTCTTTTTTCTTTTTTTTTTTAGAAACTTAATTAACTTTAAAGAAGCACCTAAGAATGATACATCTTTTGTGAGCACTTAGACATAGTTATAATATAACTCATTGAGGGCAGAGGTCTTGCATGGGAGGTCCTGCACAGTGACTTTTGTTAATTTAACAATTAACACTCTTATGTATGACATCAGTGATCACCTGAGACTCTCGATATGAGCTGCCTAGGCTATGGAAGCCTTTTGAATCCACAGACTCCATCAGTATTTAGGCAAGACCATAAGCAAAATGTAAGTTCTCTCCTCCCTTCAGAGAAAAGTACATCCTTCTTTGTGGTCCGAGGTCCTATATATGGGACAATTCTTGCCACAATGTCTTGGCTTTCCATGCCTAAAATGCTCTTGTGGGCTTTTCAGTCTGACCAGTATGCCTTAAAGGCTGATTCTGAAGTCAGAACACTATTCCAAGTGATTGTCATTACATGGGTCTGCTGTGTTTGTTGAACTCATAATCGATGGATGCAGAAATTCTAGGTGTCCTCTAAAGTGCTTATTTTTCTTTCATTCTTTCCATTTTCCCCTTTTGTATTCTTATCTTCAAGAATCCTTAACCAAGTCTTGCAGACCACTAAGTCACTACTTAGCTGAATCAAGTCCACTTTTTAGTCATCTATTATTTTGAAGTTGTCATATTTTTCATTTCCAAGACATCTATTTTTATTGCATAAATGACTCATTGTTAAATTCATATCCAACTGTTCTGATATTATACAGATGAATTCATAATTACTATTATAAATCTGATAATACTCAATATAGTTATTTCTTTCACTTACTTACATTTTAAATCTTGTCACATTCATCTTCTCTGAATTTTGTATTATTCATTCTGCTTATTCAGTATTTTCCCTCTTCAATTATATATCAATATTTGAAGATGCTTAACCTCCTACTTGAAAAATAAATCTCCCATGACTACCCATTACACTTTGTCCAACCACATTGCTCCTCATGATTTCCAAAGCCTGCATGCCACACTACATTCATTCCATTCTCGTTTATTCCCCATTGTCAATTATCTAATAGTCATGGATAGAATGATCCTTTGTTATTATTTTACTTGACTTTCTTGCACATTAATCACTGTTGACAACTTTCCTTTCTCAGATGCTATATTGTTTTATTCTGATATCCCTCTGGATCCTCCTTAGTTTTATCTGCATGCTGTATTCATTAATTCAGCTGCTGTATGTTCGGACTACTCAGGGTTTTCTCTTATTCGTACCCTCCATTTTTCTGACAGGATCTAAATTATGCACCAGATTTGATGAATTCCAATATGTACATGAATTCTGTGTTTTGACACCAAAGACAGAACTCTCCCATGAGCTCTTGGTGTCTATCTACTTCCTATATTATAGCTTGGCACAAACATACGTTCTGGCTCAACAAAGGAGAAATCTAAAGGCATTTCTTTTTCTCATTGCTGAAATCCCCTCCAGCACTGCTATCATTTGAGTGATTGTGTTGCCTACAAATTTGTATAATGAAATTCTACCCCCTAAAATGATGAGATTAGGAAGCAGAGCCATTTAGGTGATGATTAGGTACCCTTATAGCATACATCCCAGACAGCTATCTTGAGGACATTAGGAGGCACGTCTATGAACTGGCAAACAGGCCGTCACCAGACACGAAATCCATCAGCAACTTGACCTTGGATGTCCCAATCCTCAGAACTCTGAGGAATAAATGTACATTGTTTATAAGGCACATAGGCTATAGTATTGGGTTAAGTAGCCCAACAGAACTATAATAACCACCAATGCTTATCATCTTTACCTATAAATCTCTCTTGAATCCTCCAATTTTCCTGTATTTTCTACTTTTTTTCTAGTTTTTCATTATTTCTCACTTGGATTGCTATAGTATTTTCCTAATTAATGCCTCTCTCCATTTTGTCCTCTATAATCTGTTCTCCACATTTTAGCCAGTGATATATTAGCAAAATATGTCACAGTCATTCCTTTATTTAAATATAAGAGTTTCCATTGTTCTTTGAGTCAACCCAAAATCTTGAAAGTAATTATTAAGATCCTTGACAGTTTGGCCCTAACTCTATTAGACTTGTTCAACAATGTTTTCTCATTTCAATCTGACCTCTGTCCACAATAGCTTTGTTTAGTCTTTAAATTCTTATCTTTCCCTTGTGTCAGTATGCCTTCACATCTTTCCCTCGCCTGGAATTTTCTTCCCAGTCTTCCACTCCCACTTAAAGCCTACAATCCATCATGACTCTGCGTAAACACAATAGGTGTGGACTAACCTTTCCTCACTCCTAGACTTCTCAGAGCCTCTTCATACGCACTCTCATGTCACAGCATGTGAGAACTTCTTTATATGGCATTTATTGCAGTTTACATTCCACTGTTTGTAGGATTAATGGATTGATGACCATGTACACATCTGGACTATGATCTGCTTTTGGTTCACCCTTTGGAGTAGGTACAAAGTCCTCATCTCTTTAATAAATGAAAATATTTGAATGAAATATTTGATAGGTTCAGTTTTTGCTATAGTGGTTGATACCTTATAGTATTTGTCTGCTACCACAAATCACTTTTAGTTTTTGGATGAACAAGAAGATATTTTAGGATCTTTATGTATACTACCTGTAAAATAATGATACATCAAAACTGAGTAAATTAAGAGAATATTCAATAAAGGTTTACAAAGGTATGAGATCAATATCTGGAAATCACAAGAGATGGTAACAGTAATTAACTCCTATCTCATATCTCCCCTAAGTTTCTTACCTGTGCTCTTCATTTGCTAAATCCAAACTGGAGGCCAGAGGAAAAGACAGTCTGTTTTTACAGTTTGTACCAACCAGCTTCCTTCCCTAGGCAAAGAGAAAACATAGGAAGAATGGATTTCAAGGAAGAAATGAAAATATCTAGTACATTGTTCAAGTTGATGCATGTTTTTAAATTTTTTTTTTTCAGTAAAATGCTGTAGTGGCCTCTATCTATTCCCTAAAATGTAATTATATTTTTGTGTGGACTCCTGCACAAAACTGAAAAATATTAAGAAATACAAATGGGCAAAGAACCTGAATAGGCATTCCTTAAAAGAAGACATATGAATGATCAGTATATATGTATGTGTATATATATATATATACACTAATATATATATATACATATATATATATGGAAAATTACTCAACATCATTTATCATTAGAGAAATCTAAACTTTAACTCAAATTACCTCATGCATGTCAGAATTGTTAATATCAAAAAGATTAAAGGAAAACATGTGTTGGAAAGCATATGAAGCAAATGGAATTCCTGCACTGTGATTATAAGAATATAAATTAATACAACCATTATGAAAAACTGTACAGCAATTTTTGAAAAAAAACTAAAAATAATATTATCATACCATATAGCAATCTCACTACTGGAGATATAGTTAAAATATTTTAAATGGGGCTTAGCTGTGGTGTGGAAAGTTAAGATGCTTCCTGCAGTGCCTGCATCCCGTATTGACGTGGTTCAAGTCCTGGCTGCTCCACTTCTGATCTATCTCCCTGCTAATGCACCTGGGTAAGCAGCAGAGGATGGCCCAAGTCCTTTGGCCCCTGCCACCCATGTAAGAGACCCAGAGGAAGTTCCTGGTCCCCAGTTTTGTCATGGCCCAGTCGCTGCTATCAGGTCATTTGGGGAGTGAATCAGCAGATGGAGGATCTCTGTCCCTCCCTCTCTTTCTCTCTTCCTATCTCTCTGGATATCTTCCTTTTAAATAAATAAAACTAAATCTTAAAAATATTTTTGAATGAATATGTCATAAAGATATACGAATTCAATATTTAATGTGAGAATTATTCATAATAACAAATTTATGGAATTAAATTGTGTCCACAACAGATGAATAGATAGAGAAAATGTGATACAAATAAACAGATGAATACTATTCAACCTTTTAAAAATGGTAATCCTATCATCTATAAGAATATGGAGTAGCCCAGAGGACATTATATTAAGTGAAATAATCCAGATACAGAGAGAAAAATATCATACGATCTTAGTTACATGTGGAGTCCAAAAAGTCAGCCTCATCCAAGTAGACATCAACATGGTGATAGAGGCTGGTGGCTGGGTAAAAATGAGAAAATGTTGGTCAAAGAGAACTCTGTTTCAGTTAGGAGGATTAATAGTAAGTAACCGAGGTGCTGGATAGATTAGTTATCATGATTAACTCATTCTGCACTGTATATATGTATACCATAGCACCATTTTGTACCCCATGAATATGCACAAATGCAATTTGTCAATAATGAATACAAATTGATAATAATTTCAAAGGCTGATTTTGCTTTGGATATTGCCTTATCTAGCTACATATTTGAACTTTTCTTTTTTAATCTATCCAGTGGCAGCTCATTTCAACATGATGTATTTCTGACTTTATATTCTTCAATTCCTGTTTTATTCGATAATGTATTTGATCCATAATGGTTTATTTGCCATTTATGAAGCAGTTATTAGAGTTTGTGGACTATCCTAAGTACTTCAGAATTGTTTTGTTTTTAAGCCTTGCAACACCCTGATCAGCAGATCTGTATTGATTAATGCCACAGTTAATGTCTAATCAGCATGTCTATGCTTTTGCAATTTGACTTTTCTGTCCAGAAATGGAGACTGTTTCTTTACCTTCTTAAAACTGTATTATTCACATACCTTACTTTGAAAAGCAGAATGTGATGGAACAGATACTGCATGTTCTGTATTCTAGGCTGCAAAAGTCCCTGAAACAACTTCCTTTACATTCTTGAAATGTTAGCCTTAGAACACGAAATAAGGAAGTCAGTCTAGAGCTATGTGAAGACAAGAGTCTGTGCAGGGTAGGTCTTGGAACTTCCCCTGATAGCCAGCACACATGGTCAGATTTGTGAGTGAGTGAGCTTAGGTCTCCCAACCCAGCTCACACTGAGCAAAATATAGTTACATGAGTGAGCCTAGGCAAATCCACCAGCACAGTATCACAACTTATCACAACACTGAGGCAAATAATAACTCATTTTTATTTTAAGTCATCAAGTTATGAAGTGATTTTCATAGAACAAAGGCTAATTTAAACAACAGGGACTATAAAGTTTTTCATCATGTAAATGAGGAGGATGAGACAGGCAAATAGTCAACATACTGTATGAAATTGTATACATAGTTGTGCTAGATGACAGAGCTTGAATTTGAATCCAGTCCTTTCAGAATCCAAAGTCCATTCCTGAAATGCAATGACATAATGCCTCTCTATCTTATTTTCCTATACTTCAAATATTTGAGGATGCAAATATTCATTTTCTACTTCCTTTACACTTTCCCTCATCCAGCACATTCTCTGTTTGCAACCACATGGTGTGCATTTCCATTTGAAGACAAAAAGATTTTTCTCAATGTAAGCAGTTCTAGTTAAATAAGACTATACAAGAGCTGGCCTGCCACCTGTTTGCTTTGTTGATGTTTAAATAGTTGATAATAAATCAAGAAATGAGTTATATTTCATGAAACCTGAAGATTTTATTAAATGAAATTTCAGTGAACATAAATAAAATTTATGAGAATAAAGTCACACTCATGTGTTTATGTATCACCAAAGGAAGCTTTCTCACTGCAACAAGAGTTGAGTAATTGTGACAAAGAACTTACCACTCACAAAGCTGAGATTATGTACTATCTGGCTCCTTTCAGAAGGGTTTATTAAGCTTTGAAATAGGGCAGCTTCACTTGGGATGTACCACGTCTCCTACTCCACATTGACTTATATAAACTGTATGGGTTGTAACTGTATGATCTTTACCAATAAAGTAATCTTTCCTACTTACTTTTTTAAAGCCATCACTCTTCCAAAGAAATCTCATGTTTTGATGTATTAATATCCTTTGTTGCTTTTATTGATCCTTCAAACTGAATTTACATCGGTGCCATTAAATTTCATCTTAAGAGATTCAGACGATCTCTCCTGTTTTCAAATGTCTTCTTTTATTTTCATTCTATCTTCCAACATGTCCAACCTTTCTCCCAAGTTAATATTATGCACAAACTTAAGGAACATGATTTCACTGTCTGATGAAGTGAAGAAATAAATGTGCAGAAGAAAAGATTCATCCAACACTAAAAATTTCTCTCCAAAGTATCAATACCCTTCCCTTCATTAAATATCCTTTTTAATAACACCAACATTTTGACCAAATTGTAATACCAAGTCATTATTCAATAATTTGGTTTATTCATTCAACCTACCTATGTTGATTTCCTAGGATGTCCTGGGGATATGATAACAAGCAGAGCATGTAGATTCCCTGCCCATTAGAATTTGCAGCCTGGTTAGTTTTGTAAGCAAGTGATAATACTTGAACTATATGTTGAGTATTGAAATATGATTATAAATAGTAATGACTGTGATGAGTAACAGTGCTTTCAATTATCCTAGTATTACTTGATATTTATGCAATTTCTTGCTGAACTGCCCCTTCTATTCATGAGCAATGGATATGAAAGGAAAAACTGAGGTTAGGATAACATGACTTATTTTTGGTAAATCAGTGCTGGGGCCCAGTGTTCAGTGTTTCCTTGATGTAATAATCTGAACGTTCCATGTGCTTACAAACCTCCTGAGGATCTTGGCACAGTGTAGATTCTGGTTCTTTAGGCCTGGGTTGGAGCCTGAGATTCTATGCTGCTAACAAGCTCTGAAAAGTTGTTTGCTGCTCTTCTACCCAGCTCATTCTGAATAATTAGCCCTCAGTTGGTGGTCACAACCCAGATTTTTTCATGATCAGCTACTGTCCTAAAAGGACATACTGTTTCAGAGAGGCCCTCCAGAAATGTTTTAGCAGAGAGAGGCCAGAAGCAGAGTCAATAATCAAAGGCTCCCATGTCAGACACACATGAATTTACACAAGGACAGACCTTCCCTTTGAAAACTGTGAGCTCAGCCTGCATCCTCAATTCATTCTCCCTTAGTTTCCTCATTACTAACATAATTTGCGATGGTGTTGCTGAGAATATGGACCCAAAAACTTGGCAGGCATTAAACAAATGTTGTATTTTATTTTGGTTATTAAAAGAGGAATATAACAGAGATGTACTTGGAAAAGATTAATCCGATAGGAAGATGTGGTTTGATTTCAAGAGAGAAGGAACCAACAGCACTTGAATGAATTAGATGCCTCTTCTGTTCCAGTATTTTGTACAGATGGACTCTGAGTTAGAAACTGTGTTAGAAACTGGGGACATAAAGTTGAACCAGGCATAGTTTTCAAAGATTTTCTTGAGGGAGATGCATCCGCAAACAGTCCATGGACTCCAAGGCGCTTCTGGATCATTGATTTTTTAGAAAAAACAGCGACTGTGATGGGGAGATGAAATTTAAGATAATAGTAAAGGAAACGTATTATAAGAAAAAATGATTAAAAAAGTGATTATGATAGTTCTGTGGTTTCAAAACCAGCGACACTTATGGTTTCATTAACAGAAATTTTTAAATGCCAAAAAAAAAAAAAATAGGTAAGAAAGGGATCAAACTGAGTTTTCTTTTGTGCACAGTGAAATGAGATGTTGGGTCTCTCAGTGGAGATAAATTATAAGCCATTTTATAATAGAATCACCATGGGTAGCAATAAGTGTAATTGAAGTTCATTCACAGAATTCAGGGAAAACTAACATGCACTTTCTGGTTGTTTTTGTAACAATATAATTTGGATCACTTATTTCTGTATCTACTGTTCTTTTGCAGATGTACGGAAAGACATATATGTTTATGTTTGATGTTTACCCTACATCAGCAGTTTCAAAAAATTACTACTTTGTTTCTACTCTATTAATGATAGTCTGAAT